GGAGAGAGAGAGAGAGAGAGAGAGAGAGAGAGAGAGAGAGAGAGAGAGAGAGAGAGAGAAGAAGGGCTCAATCTTGTCGAAGGCCAAAAAGTATGTCAAATGTAGCAATACAGAAATGTGCAGTAGTCGCTCATGTTGTTTTTTTCTTTTCTTTTCCATTTTTAATGTTGGTGTTTCACGCCCCTATTGACACAATTCAAATCCTCAGGGAGGCGGGCTTCCGATCCTGTCTGTCAGGGGCAACAAGGGCTGAGAGGGGTACAACATTCCAACCAAAGCACCCGCCAACCACCCAAATCGATGCACAAGCAGTCTAAAGAAGTCAGTTATTCAATTTTGAGCTTTGTTCATTTTAATCGTATTTTAAAGTTTTACGGCACTTGCAACACAATACGTCATAGAGTGCCAACGATCAGAGGTGTAACTAGGGAATAACATACACATAAAAGAAGGAGGAGAGATTGTTATTAGTAGAGGTTTTACGGCGCTCGCAACCACACAAGGTCATAATGACCACCAGAAGATTAGAGGTGTTACAAGAGAGTAACAAAATTTAAAAAAAAGAAGAAGGGAAGATAAGGACGATAGATGTTTAATAGGAAAAAAGAAGCAAACCACACCAGATCACCCGCCAACCACCCACAAAGAAAAGAAAAATAAGAGATAAGGAGGATGAATGTTGAACAGGAAAGAAGGAGCAAACAACACTAGGGCACCCCCCAATCACTCGCAAATAATCAACGATAAACAAACACAAGATGGTTATGGTATTATAAGAATTAATTTATTTGCATAGCTGTCCTTCAGATGTGTACAGCACACACAGTACAAAGTATAGTCGTAGCTTGAAGTTGGTAAAGAAGCATAAACCATAATGACAGCCATTAGAAAGAAAAAAAACATGATAACAATTTTACATCATCGTGACAACAAAACACCAGGCTTACCAACTCTTTCAAAACCGACACAGGGACACTTACTTACAAGTTATGATAAATATATAATTTTAGATTAACTACCTAAAGACTAAAGACGAACAAAATCACGTCAAGTTAGTGAGGCTGATTTTGGTGCATGTGATAAGGCTCTCAGATTCCGAATCGTCAAATTCGGGACAGTCCCGGGAAATTCAGGACAGGTGGAAAGCATGTACAGTGACATCAGCGTATGATCTCGTAATACTATCTTGACAACAGGAGTCTCGGGCAATGGGAGCATGACGAGAGAGAGAGAGAGAGAGAGAGAGAGAGAGAGAGAGAGAGAGAGAGAGAGAGAGAGAGAGAGAGAGAGAGGGGGAGAGAGAGAGAGAGAGGGGAGAGAGAGAGGGAGAGAGAGAGAGACAGAGAGAAACAGAGAGATACAGAGAGAGAGAGAGAGAGAGAGAGAGAGAGAGAGAGAGAGAGAGAGAGAGAGAGAGAGAGAGAGAAAGACCGCCCTCACCAGAGCCAGCAGCCTTGTACACACACAACTGTGTTGTCATTCACGCACAAGTACAAGTACACAGACACACAAAAAAACCTGGCGACAGCTTGACACACACACACACATACACACACACACACAGACACACACACACACACACACACAAAACAAAACTAGCCACCTAGCTACAGGGCAAAGAGACGTAACAATAATATGACATCCGCACTTTTCTCACCCTATAAATCTGAGGTTCAGAAACATTAACTTAGTCTCCATGACAGTTTACCATTCAGTCACGTCGATCCTACGTTACTTTGGCATTTTATCCTCCGTTTAAATAAACAATCACACTTCACTGGAAGAACAAAAAGGAGTCTGGTTGGCCAGTTGTCTGCAACACACACCGATAACACATATACTACAGCACACACAGATAACACACATACAACACACATTGATGACATAATAACATGCAACACATACAGATAACACACATATGCAACACACACATACAACACACACTGATGACACATACATAATGTACGTCTTTGGACCTGAATAATCAACAGTGGGAAAAAAAACACCAAGCCTATGATGAGAATGAATGAAACTGATAAACTCTAATCCATCCCAGTATATCCCAAGTCGCAATAAAAAATCCTTTTACGGATGTGTATAAAAAGATTCTCGCAGATACAACACATGACCAAATATTTCTGTGCCATGCCCACACTTCTCGACAAATGAAATTTAAAAAAATCCATTCCACATATTATTACATCTATATATACATCCAGATGCACCAATAGGTTCACAGAAGGAATCTTTCTCCCTTCTTCTCTCGACAAACCCATGGATCAGAGGGGAATGATAATGGCCAGCTCGTTTTTAGCAGCTTGGAATTTCCTGTCAGTTCGCATTCAAGTTCTAGTCATGAAAATGCAATCATCAATGAAATTGAAATTATAATCAAATGTTGAACGCTAGATATAATGAAAACAATCTTCAGCGAGGAAGCCCTCAGACCCTATAACTATTTGGTATGTTGATACACATGAATATTTTACATTGCAGTCATAACAATACCTGAGGCTTTCAAATCCCCTTTCAACACAAAGGCTCTGCTGACTCATTAACACTGACAGAAAGGAGATTTCAAAGTTGCCTTGAAAAGGTTTGAACCTCACATGGCAGCACATTTCTGATGCGAACTCTTTTCCTCTCTGCCATACTGTCAAGTAGATAAGAGCACTCACATTTCCTGCATACAGTGACATCATGACAAAAACAAATTGTACTACATGTCTATAAATTATGTGAACTACTAAACGTGTATGAACGCACTAGACACATCAGTTTTGATTTTAATGTCCCTTTCTGTTTAATCCTTGTTAATTTCTCAAGAGCCTAAAACATCCTACCCATTAATACAGCCAACAAAGTCCTCACCCTCTCTGCCAGAGAGAGGAAACCTAATCACCTGGGCAAACATTAAAAGATTAAATGACTAAAGAGTTTTTTAATGTGCCACTGGCTTCATAGTTTAGCACTGCACTGCCAGCTGTGGTTTCTCTCAACACATGAGTTCAAACAACGTCCAGGTGAAAACTGTTCAACGCTGATACTACAGTAAAACATCGGTATAAAGTACAAGGCTCAAAAACACGCAATCGGCTGTAATGTTCACTTTGTGAAGCCCAAAGTTCCACTTAGTATTTTTACCATTTTTGGCTAATATGGACCTCCGCTAAGACGTTAAAAATCTTGGGTTTTACTGTAAATACTTGTATTAAATACATGTACTGAATTTGTTGATTTCTCAGCCAAACTGACCAGACAGCATCTTGTTACAGAACAAAAACCAAAGGGTAAATGATATGCCTTAAAAAGAGTAAGGTTTCATTCACCTCAACTCGAGCAACCGAAAAGATACCATTGTACGGACCTAGTGGTAGAAAAGAAAGTCTTTCAAACGAGGCCATGATAAATTGCAACGTACAGAAACTGATAAATTTACAAATGAAAAGGGGCCTCACTTCTCCCAAACGCTCCAAGAATTCCACACGTCAAGGATCTCACAAACTTTGCTCTGAAGTAAGAGTGGCAAGGTTATCCCCCCCACTACATGATCAGTGGACCAGAAATCAACACACCTTTTCTGTTGCAATCCAGCCAATGAGAAATCTTGTAAGACCCAAAAGGCACACCAGGAATGAGGTTAGAGAAGCAGCGAAAGAGATTTCTTTACAAAAGTAGAGAATGTACATGTACAATGCTTTCTACCTACACCTACAAAGAGACAATATTCTAAATCAAGCAAGGAGAAAAAAATACGAAAGGAGATCAGGGAGACATAATGTCCAGATTGGTCCAGTGGGTGATTGGCAGGTGCTCCGGTGTGGTTTGCTTCTTCTTTCCTATCAAATATCTATCTTCCATATCCCTCTTTTCACTATTATTTTTTTTTCTAAATGTAGGCGTTTCTTTTGCAAACATCGACACAATTAAGATGATTTACGAGGCGGGCTTCTGATCCTGCCTTTCCGGGCAATTCTGGACTGAAAGGTATACATTCCAACAGAAAAATCGAGACACGCGATAAAAATTTTCTCCCCAATCAGGAACTAAATTTGAGTCTCCTACATGAAACAGCAACACCACAGACACTGGTTCTTTTTATTTGTTGCAGTCTCTAGTTTTTGGCACTTTCATCACTTGTTTGAGTTGCAAGTGCCGTAAAACTCTTACTAAAAAAACTAAAAACTCAACGATTGGTCCACTGACTTAGGACAGTCCTGCTCTAAACACAAAAGAAAAACTGGAATGCTAGCAGAAGATTTAGAAAATTGATACACACGCTCGCTTTGTGCCATGGTACAGAACAGCAGAGACAGTAACAGCAACAGTGCTGTCTTAGCATGCAACAGGATGATAACAAAACCACAAGAAGAGACATCTCTCTGAGAAATAAGCGGCAGGAAAGATTGAGCAGGAAATATAGGATGAAAAATATCTCTGACAATACATTTTCATTTGTTTGGGTAAAGGCATGGATGTAGTATGGATTTATGCTAGCATTTTATAAACAAAACACAAAAACATAAACATTGATGAATACATAAATGAAGAAAAGTAACTAAAAGCAAAAGACTGGCACAATATTATCAACTTCACTTATCCCAGATATCAGACTTAACATAGCAAAAATATGAATGACGAAAGATCACACACTGTACAACAACTAAACAGTCCTACCCCAACAGCAAACAGCAACAACTGAGAACAGAAGGTCTGCAGAATTACTATACACAGATGAACTCAAAAAAGAGTACAGGTGTACTAATGTATCAAGATATATATAATGTGTACACAGGTGTATAAACGTCCTTGTATTCAATATGTATGAATTTGCAGTATGGTTTGTTCTTCATGTTCCATTAAGGACAGCAGCGAGATCGAATTGAAATCCACACTTAATACTTTAAGCTAAGCACCAGAAAAAAATTGGTCGCAGTGTAATCCAAACCAACACACAATGTATCAAACCAAACAGCTACTCTGTATTATTTTCTACATGTTGGAAAACCCATCACTTCTCATCTCAACCACGAGTTTACGGTCTGTACACATTTGAATCCCAAATGTGAGGGACATCGTGGTGAAATCAGGCCAAGGTCAAAATAATGAAATATAAAATTAACGGACATTTTTCAAACCATTGGCCAATTTTTATGGAATTCTTTGGAAGGGCCCTTAATACCTCTTAAGTCCATTCAAAACACATTTCTGTGCGGAAGGGACAAAAAATGTAGATTAGTAGTTTCCAAGGACACTCAAGCTTTAAAAGTCACCCAACTTTGGTGCTCATTTTCTCACTAATTTTACCTCTGACACGATGAAATCCCCACCTCTTTCAATTGCAAATATCTTCATTTCTATTCAAACTAGATGGACATTTTCTTTTAACAAAAGCAAGAAAAATGAACAAGGTATAAGATGAAACCAATAACTCTATATGCCCCAAACATTGATGAGCACCAGATTCTACCACACCAGGACACACACACAGATTATAACTTTTAACCAATATGGAACAAGAAGTTTTACAAACACGCTGAAACTGCTTATACTCTGACAAAATTGTAATGACTTCTCTCCCCCTCAGTTTTGTCATTAACCTTACCCAAAAATCCCAGACAGTCTTTGTTCATAACATGATGGGGTTCATAAACACTGTTATTAGAAAGCATCGTATGTTCAAAGTGAATGTTAATTGGAAAAATGTCAGAGCATGAACAACATAACCTTTGGGTAGAACACAGCGACAGTGACACTGCTCAAACTTTCTGGGGCTGAGGTCCATTAGCTGAGCAAAACCTGAAGTAAGGCATCGCTGTATCATCAGACCTGTCAACCACTTCATGACTTCAAATACGTTGGGAGAAAAAAATCAGGGTCTCCAGAACCCAAGAAGATTAAGAAAATGTTACAAACCAACTGTAGTAAATAGAAATGTGTTTTTTAACATCGTTCGTGATAAGTCGCATTAGACCAGACTGAACAAGAATTCAAGAAAAATAATTACATTTTGTGCAAATCCAATCAGGGTTCTTTGACAGGCAAAAGAAAATTTGAAAGCTCTATATTTATTGGAGAACTTAACAAGTCTGTTTCCTGGAAATACTTGTTCAGAAAAAAAACTGCTGGTGACCTTCTGGTAAGTGCAGAGTCATGATAGGTCAAGGTCGGGGAACGTCCGTCGAAATTACTGCTGCAGCTCCACGTAGTTGGCGGGAAAGAGACCGGTGACTCCACGGCAGGAGCCTCGCCACCAACCTTCGTCAATCTGGACAGTGGAGGATACACAATGTACAAAAGTCTTATGAATTGATCTTTTTCTAGAAGAAATTGTAAAAAAAATATCCAAGTTGTCCGTTTAAGTTTTAGTGAGAGCTTTAATTTTAAAAATAAGTTTTACGGCACTTGCAACACAATTAGCTCATATGAGTACTAAAGATTAGAGGTGTTATTAGAGAGTAAGATAAAAAGAAAAGGAGGAAAGCAATAGATGTTTTATAGAAAAGAAGGGGCAACCACACAAGAGCACCTGTCAACCACCCACTCGAGAGGAAACAAATGAACAATTTAGAAAAAAATTTCAGAAAATGTGACTGCCATTTCAGGAGCTTCAGAAACACAGTAATAAAAACACATAGAATTTAACCAACAGTACTCATAAATACAAACAAATAAACACACGTGTACACAGACAAAGACAGCTTTAAAAAAACAACCCAAAAACAACTCAAAACTCAAGAACAGGATAGAGAGTCTCACATGATGATTTTACAACATGTCATTATAAATGGAAACACCTCAGCACTGAACGGGTTAAAGCACAGTCTAGCACACAGGCACGCAGCAAAATTGCTATCTACCTGTTTTCAATACAAAGAACCATATATACACATATACAAGAAAAAATTCGGGACCTGAATATTCGTTTGCTGCGTGTGTATTTCACTACGTCCATGCCCGCTAAGTGTCGATAAAACTGTACATGTCTTTACTAGAAAGCATTACACTTACCATCTCAATATTTGTAATAATTTCATCTGGGTCAAAGGTAAGCTCATCGCTGTCAGCTGCAGAGAAACACACAATAAAAGGATGACTTGTAAAAGTTTCCAGAAAGTACTCAATATGTTTTATGTTCTCAGAAAGTAGTGTTTTACCATAGTTCTTTAGAAAATGTACAATTTGTTTTACAACAGTTCTCAGAAAGTATTCAATGTGTTTTACAATAGTTTTCTGTACATAAAAACAAAGTCAGTCATACATAAAGTAGAACTTTTCTCAAAAGCATCTTAAGGAAGTAGATAAATACTTTAGCTGGGTTCACAAGAGCTAACATCAGTACTAAAAATAGCAAAACTCATGTACTACTACAACATTTTTTGTGGGAGAGGGAAAGGGAGAGAGAGAGAGATAGACAGATAGATAGATAGATAGACAGACAGACAGACAGACAGATAGATAGAGAGGGGAGAGAGAGAGAGAGAGAGAGAGAGAGAGAGAGAGAGAGAGAGAGAGAGAAAGAGAGAGAGAGAGAAGATCACTTGGTGCATCTAATCGTTGCATTATTGTAATGGACATTGTGCACTTTCTTAGCAGAAACGTGCTATATTAGTGAAATTTATTATTTGCTACTACTAGTTTTTTTTTCAAAATTTTCAACAACTCCACTTTGTTCCCACTTACTGGCCTGGTAGTCGTAGAGAGCGATGGCCGTGATGCCGTCACCGTCCCCTCCCTCCTGCGATTGTGCCGGATACTCCACTGAATATTCTGTCTCCTCCCCATAATCCTCCACTCGCTCAGGTTCGGGAGACGGCTCTCTGACAGGTTCGGGGGATGGTTCACGGACAGGTTCGGGAGACGGTTCCCTTACAGGTTCGGGAGACGGTTCCCTTACAGGTTCGGGGGATGGTTCTCTCACTGGTTCGGGTGACGGTTCTCTTACGGGTTCTGGTTCACTGGCCTGCCTTTCTTCCTCTTCCTGCCTCTCGCGAGCTAACCTTTCCTGTGAAGTAAAATAGAGAAGTAAGTCATTATGACACAAAACAGCTGACAGGTTAATTCTTAGTTTGAGTAAGAGTTTTACGGCACTTGCAACAAAATTAGGTCACATTAGTACCAATAATTAGAGGTGTTAAAAGAGAGTAACAAGCACAAAAAAAGAAGGCAGAAAGATAAGAATGATAGATGTTTGATAGGAAGGAAGGCGCGCACCACACCAAAGCACCCACCAACTGCCCACTAAACAGCTGACAGAAATACCTGACAAAACGGTGTTAAAACTACTAAAGTGATTTGATATAAACTTCACATGAGAGCTGTGACTGGTCGCCATCTTTCTCCTTCAAGTTGTTCTAGGTCAGAGATGCCAACCACAGAAAACTGAAATGAGTATTGGGAAATATGAAAATGTGTATTTTCAGGGGAAAATGGGTATTCCCCACGACCGACCGACCAACCAGTAATAGTAAAATGTTCAGGGTGCCCAGCAATAGTTCCTGAAAAAAAATTACTAGCTCACCAGCTCGAAAAAGGGAGCACACACGCGTACAATATACATGTATGCAGTCAACAACATGTCAGTGTTCAATGTCGTACTGGGGTCTTGTTTGACTTAAGTATTTCAGTCTATTGTATATTTTCCTCTCATTATTATATAAAAAATAAATCCTGCTTTGAGAGTTCGGAAGGGCCTAGAACAAGAATTTCGACTATCAAGAACCAGTCTTGGTGTCATGATTAATATTATGAACTGACAGATTCAAATTATTGCTCAAACTCAGAGAAAAGCAATAACTTGAAGGGCTCAAGTAGACCCATGCACTGTGAGAGTTGTAACAACTGTGGTAGAGCAAGATGCAGTGACACTGAAAATCTGCCAGTCTTGAACAGAAAGCTACAACATACACCGTAGGTATAATTTACTATCACCCATCCAAGTAGATGTAGGTATAATTTACTATCACCCATCCAAGTAGGTATAATTACTTTCACCCATCCAATGAAACGCGAACACTTTATTTCAATAACACAGACTTGCAAAGTATGAGGGGTCCCGATTCTGCACACGGTCTGCACCAACGCGCGCCTTGCAGAAAGCTCTAATCAAAATTCTGAAATGAGCTTCCAAGTTTTTGTCCTCTGGTGTTGTCTTAACCCCCCCCCCCCTATAGTATCTTAAACCCCCCCAAAAAATCAATAATCTCCTCCCCTATTCCATAGTCATATACTTCGCAACGCCGTTACTCCAACCAAAGACGGTCTTTACTCACACAATGCCGCATTTATTTATGATGCGAATGCGCGCAGGTTCAGTGACCGGTCACAATGGCGAGCCAGACAATCTAAAAATCGGACAACGCTTGTATTTTCTTTTCTTTTTTTTCCCCACAAGTGACTGCCAAAGCGACGAGTCCGAGTATTTGTTACATTTTATTTGCACGGCGACATTGCCTTTATACTGCACAACCTGCAGGCCACAAATGTTGCGTTATCAGACAACTGTTGGCAAACTTCTCGGTGGTAGCGAAAGCGAAAGTAAATCTTGATTTTCCCGATCGAGCCTCGGTGTCACATACGCTTCCGCCTGCCGCATTAGCTGCTTATTCACGTGAAAGTGAAACGTTCTCTCCGGACGGGGAAAAGCTGAACGAATATAATATCACGATCGTGACTGGCAAAAAAGTACTTACGGACCACATCGGACTTGGTTTTCAAATATTCCAGTTCTGCGATACTGATACTATTTTGACAAAAGATGAGACTTGAAACAATTAGGTTTACTCGCCCAAGCTGAATCTCGTATTTTTCGCATTCCAGGATGCGTATTTTTTCATGAAAAGTCGTATTCGCGTATTTTCGGCAAAAAATCGTACGAAAATACATAAAATCGTACTGGTTGGCATCTCTGATAGGTCTTCCTTTTTTTCTCTGACCCGAGGACTCTGTCTCAAAGCTTTTCTGGTAATAACCATCAGCAACTTTATTAAAAACGAGTGTCTGATCCATGTCCAGCTTCTCCAACTCACTTTCTTTTGCCCTTTCTGCTTTCTCTTTAAGGTGACAACTATTTTAGAGGCTGGCTTCTAACTCCGTCTGTAAGGGCCAACCCAGGCTGAGAGGCAAACAGCATCCAAGCAGAAAGACCCACCAGATACTTGATGAAAAATTCTCTCCATTCAGGATTTGAACGTGGATCCTCTGCATACAACAGTGAAGTGCCTAACTGCTACACCACAGACGTTGGTATGACATCAAAGTACTGAAAACCAATCATGGGTACACAATGATATAAGTAAAATAAGATAAGAAGAACAATCTTTATTGTCTAGGGACTATCACATTGGTTTGGTGATTTACCACACACACACACGCACACACACACACAATAAAGTACTGCAGTACCGACCTGTCTTTGTTTTTCCTGCTCTTCTCTCTCCTTCTTCTCCCTTGCTTCTCTCCTCTTTCGTTCCTCCATAGCTTTCTGTCTGGCTTCTTCTTCTCCTCCCTTTGCCATCTGCTCAAATCTGGCTTTCAAGTTTCGGGCACCTTCAGAACCTGTATAATAAAAGAAAAAAACTCATTATTAGTTTCTTTTCATTTCCTCAAAGGATTTTATCGTTCATAAAAAAAAAAGCATACAGTAACAGTCGCAAACTGAGAAAGTCAGAATTAAGTCATTCATCTGCTCACTGAGTCATGATACCATCATTTTTGGGTCTTAAAAAAAAGGTGTTTGCATCTAAATGATTTAGATCATTTAGGAGGTGCGTTTCCAAGACTACCTGTAAGGGCCAATCAGGGCCAAGAGGGATACAACATCCCAGTAGAAAGACCAAGATACTTGATAAAAATTCTCCCCACTCAGGAATTGAACTTGAGTTACCTGCGAGCAACAACAAAGTGTCTAACTGCTACACCACAGATGCTGGTAATAACACCATAACTCCCCTTAAAAAAACATTTAAAAAACTACACAAACTGACGATACAAAAAACATATGACTCACCTCCTTCTGCCTTCGTCCGTTGATAACCTGACTTCACTTCTTCCATATCGTCAAACGATCCCGCAGTCTACACCAAGAGAGAAGAAAGCAAAAAAAGATAAATAAAGCAGTTTTATTTATTGATACATTCAAACATGCTGTGATAGCCACCTGTATAAGATAGTAACATGCAAAATGGCCTGTTCCCCCTGGGTTTTTTGTTGCTGTAGCTTTTTTCATTGTGACATTGTGTCTAAGACTTCTTCATAGTGGTCCTCTGTACTAGTGGTCACTCTTCCCCGCCATACTTGTGGTTTTCCCTATTTTTTTAAAAACCTGTCTATAGTCGTCCCTGTCCAAAGCGACCACCCTCAGTCCTTTTCACGACAATTCTGTCTAAAAATCTGCTCATAGCGGTCACTTGCAAAAAATGTTCAATGTTGTCAACAAACCCATCTTCAGACTGGGTATGCAGATTCAACCAATGCACAAAACTCTTATGACAGACAACAATTTCGGAGTTAACGAAATGGAAAGACAAAAATGAAGATTTCAGATTTTCAACCATCTGTTGACTTTGTGCCTCACCGTGTCTTTCCTGTCTTCCTGCACGCCAAACTTGCCGCCGAAGCCTTTCTTCATGTCTGTCTGTGACGAGTGCAGCTCTGTCTTAGTGTCTGCGCCGTAGCCCACTGCAGATTTGTCCATGTGGTCCTTCTGCACTCCAAACTTGCCACCAAAACCTTTAGAGTAATCTGAAATCACAAAACCAGTAAACTGAAATCACAAAAACAAAAGGCAGACACAAGTTTGTAACTTAATTCTCTGGTGAGAAACTATGTTACGATTCTTTTTCTTTTTCTTTTATTCAGTAAAAGTTTTACGGCATTTGCAACACAATTTGATCATATGAGTGCAGAAGATTAGACATGTTACTGGAGAGTAATAAACACACGCCAGAATATAATTTTTTTCTGGGGCCAATGACCTATTATGTCAAAATTCTTCTCTCAGACTCAGCAGTTAGTCGGAAACAAAAAGAATCAAACTGACATGCTAAATAATAATAAATAATAAATAGTATTTTTACTGTCCAGCTCAACAGCAAGCTATATGCACTTTACAACAAACCCTAGAATACTTAGAAAAAAAATGTCTCGGTTTCCCGGGAAAAACACAGTGCAAGCCAGCCGATTCAGCACTCAAACACGAACAAACTGACACGATCTTTGGTTGGCTACATGTTAAGGTCATTTGGAAAAGGGGAAAAGGGAGGCACAGAGACGAGAACAAAACAAGGACTGTGAACATGAAGGACCAACAAGCCTCCCCCCAAATCAGAAAAAAAAATCTACTGTTTCATCTCTTTCATCTACTCACTCTTTAATTTTAAATGAACAAACAAACAAACTGTACAGCTGATATGTGAACAAAATAAGAACTGAGACCATCAGACAAACTTATCCAAAACAAAGATGACTTTTCACCGTTCACTTTTCAAACTCGGTTAATAAAGACAATGCTCTATAGTAAATTAAATAGACGCTCAAAGAACCTTAAGTTTTTTCCATCAAAACTGGACTATCCATTCAAGAACACAAGAAGGATAAGGAAAATTAAAGAAAGAAAAAGGAAATTTAATAAGAAAAATAAATTACAGAGATAAAGAAAGGAAGGAGAAGGATATAGAAAGAAAAATAAGAAAAACGAGAGAAGGAAAATATGCAAAAGGAAGTAAAACAGTAAGTAAGTACATGGGTTTAATGCCCTTATCAACGCTGTTAGGTATTTTAAGAGGCAGGACCTCTAAATTTAGTCCGTCCCCGATAAGGCTGTACCCAATGGATTGAGAGCCTTGAAAGTTCCACATAACAACTCGACTTAAAAAATGCCCAGTCTGAGATTCAAAATGAGCCATTCACTCTGTAGTTTAGCATGATACCAACTGAGCTAACGGAGCGCCCAAAAATGAAAGAAGAAAGAAAAATACACAAAAAGAAAGCAAAAAAGATGGAAAGAAGAGATGAAATAATAAACAAAGAAACAGATTACTGACACAAGCGACAAAAAAGAAAGTATGTACAACACCTTTCTGTGACTCGTGTTGCTGCAGTTTTTCTTGATGCTCGTAGCCCACAGCAGACTTGTCCATGTTCTCTGTCTGAACTCCAAACTTGCCACCGAAACCTTGGCTGAAATCTGAACAGTCAAGGGACGCAATTAATGGCTCACCTTAAACCTCTCAATTGAAAAACAAAACCCCAAACAAACGAAAAGAACCCCCTGCCTCACTCCCAAAGAACCAAACCCAATACCAAACAGAATACCCCCCCCCCATCCCAAAACACACACACACACACTAGATCAGTCTTCAGTAATCTCACATTATCATAAATGTATAAAACCCCATCCATCAACAAAATTTTAATCAAATAAAGAGGATGGCTGCGTCAACCATACCTCCCAAGTTCAAAAGCGACCAAGTGGGACAAAATCACAAGTTCAAGGAACTCATGTAAACCCCCCCCCCCCAAAAAAAAAACCCAACGGAATACTGTATTCACTTTACAGGTCATTTATGGGACAATTATAGTCCACATGTCCACAGCAGTTGACAAAATGTCTATAACTCAGATTTGGGTCTTATGAAAAACAACTGAATATGCATCACCTTTCCTTAAAGGTAATGATACAAAAAATTCTAACATACTTAAAATTGAATAAGTATCATAGTAAACTGAAAGTTAAAATTAAGAAAGAATGTGGAAGAACACTTCGGTAAAACTTCAGTAAACTCACCTTTCTGTGAAGCGTGTTTTTCTGTCTTTCCTTCATAATCAAATCCCATGGCAGACTTATCTTGTCGATCTGTCTGTACCCCAAACTTGCCACCAAAGCCCTTGCTGAAATCTGTACAAAAGGAATTTGGAATTGCAGGAGGTTGCACAATACAAGAACTTATGATCAATGTTTCAAAATCAACAGACTCTACCCCTTTGGTGGGTCAAGATGGTGAGCAGTGGACAACCAACTCCCCTCCAAAACCTTCACACACATTTTTCTGCCTTCAATAAATTCAAGAAATCAAAAGCAGATCTACGACAAAAATGTGAGAAATGTTAAGGGACACGACTTCTATTGAGTTATAGGCTTCAATATTTCATTAATATTAGAAAATCGCGTCATGAAAGTTCATAATTTTCCGACAGCATACATAAAAACAGGCTTCCGTACTTAGACCCCAAAAACATATATCAAATACATTAACATTTCAACCTTGCCTGTCAGGGCCAATCCGGAGTCGGAGGGATACAATATACCAGCAGACAGACCAAGATACTCGGTAAAGATTCCTCATCCACTTGAGAATCTAACTCAGGTCTCCTGCACGCAACAGTGAAGCTCCTTACCACTACCTACACCAGACTCCAGTACTTACCTTTCTGTGACGCATGTTTCTCTGTTTTTCCCTCGTACTCAAAGCCCAAGGCAGATTTATCCTGGCGATCTTTCTGCACTCCATACTTGCCACCGAAACCCTTTGAGTAGTCTGGCAAAAAGTAAAAGTGTGTATGGGATTATTGACCCTATCAACACTAATTATTAGGTTATGCAAGAGGTGGGACCTTCAGATTTAAAGTCTGTCTCCGATAGCACCAAGCAAAATAGGTTGAGAACCTTAAAAACTCCACAAAACACTTGAGTTCAAGAACACCCAGTCTTGTTTTAATTTTAATAAGAGTTTTATGGCACTTGCAACACAATAAGGTCATATAAATGCCGAAGATTAGAGGTGTTACAAAAGAGTAACAAACACAAAAAAGAAGGAGGGGAGATAAAGACGATAGATGTTTGATAGTAAAGAAGAAGCAAACCACACCAGAGCACCCGTCAACCACCCACACACCCATTCTGAGATTTAAATAACGGTAGTCCACAAAAAGTCCACAAAGGCCTGTACTATCTTTCAAAGCACCAAACACACGCACACAGCAAAAAGTCATCCTGAGAAGATTGCGTCCTTGGTTACAAAATACAAGGCTCTGGGTTTACCGTTAAAAAAAAATAACATAAAAAAAGAGCGCTCCAATTTTATCAGAGTACATGTAGGTCTACAATTACCTGTTTGGGACTCGTGTTTGGTTAGGTCCTCCTTGTGCTCAAATCCCAAGGCCGACTTGTCCACTCGGTCCTTCTGCACGCCAAACTTGCCGCCAAAACCGTGGCTGTAATCTGTGGCACAGAAACAATAAAAGTTATTTAAAAATTTTTAACGTAGGGGTGTGAGTTTGAGTTTGAGTAAACAGAAGCACACCAACACAACAATGGTGATATACAGCTGGGAAGAAGCAAGATAGACGGACAGAAACAAAAGAGTTAAGAGTGAAAAGAAATAGGACCTGTCAGTGGCGCCCTACACTTAGCTAACATAGGTCTTTTTATGCCATCATTGACACAATTTAGATCATTTAGGAGGTGGGCTTTGACCCTATCTGTCAGGGCTAACCTGGGCTGAGAGGGATGCCACATCCCAGCAGAAAGACCGAGATAATTGATGAAAATTCTCCAAACACCAGAATTGAACTCGGGTCTCCTGCATGCCACAGCAAGGTGCCAGACCGTTGCACCACTGACGCCAGTATGGATGAACAGAAAGAATGACCTACGAATAGCACTCCCACCAATTATCCCCTTGTGTCAAGACCAAAAACAACAATCACCACTCAGACAAAGGAACACTAAAACTCTGTTTTTTTTTAAAAGCATAACTACAAAGCACATAATCACCTTTCTGTGATGCATGCTTGTCAACCTTGCCAGCGTATTCAAAACCAACAGCAGACTGAAAAATAAAAAGCCTCTTTTAAACACCAGGTCCTGAAGTACAATGAAAAAAGCAAGCAACCCTTCAAGAAAGGATATAGAGAAAATCAAGAAATTCCACTACATTTTCACATTTTTAAGGCATACTTGCAAAAATGTAGCCGCAGTGCCAAACAATATAGGCAAAAATAACTGATCACATCAGTCTTACAGCAGCTGTGTGATCCAAACTTAAATTTTGACAAAAAATTTGGCAGAAAGTCTTGAGATTTGGAACTGCGAGTTAAAAAGACACTCCAGTGCTTATATCAACATATTTACATTAAATCTAAAAATCAAAATGAATTTTAATCAAGAATGTCAACTTTGTTACCTTATCTACTCTGTCACTCTGAACCCCAAATTTCCCTCCAAATCCTTTCTTCACGTCTGTCTGACTGGAGTGTAGAGCCACCTCCTCGTGGTGCTCATGGCCCACAGCGGACTGGAAGGAAGATAAGATAACATTTTTATTGATCTCCACAAAGAAACATTTGCTGCGGCATGGTAAAAATGCACATGCACATGTCAACACACACACACACACACACAGGCACACATGCACAGACACACACTCTCTCTCACCCCCTCCCCACATTTTCTCACACAGACACATATAAACACACACACACTTGGAAACATAAATAGTCATAAGATGGATATAAAAAAGATGATATTCTCACCCACCCAACAATTAAAGGTAGAAGAAACAGAAAACAAGCTCAATGACAATAAAATATTTCACATAGCCAATAATTAAGATAAGTAGATATTTCCACACAGTTTGTACGGCATGGTTTGGGCACAGCGGCCCATTCAACGTTGTAAGATTAGTTACACTCCACATTTAGCAACTTGAACTCCACTTTTTGGTCATGGAGTGGTTTGCAGGTCTAAGGATGCACATGTTTCTAATTAAATCCCTAAACCTATCATATACTGGTTCAGAAGAAATTAAGTAACACCAGGATAAAGAGGGTTTTTATTTTTGCTTTTACTGTTTACAGCAAAGTGTTTCCATGCCCCCATTGACACAACTTAGATCATTTAGGAGGTAGACTTCCAACCCTGCCTATCAGGTCCAACCCTGGCCGAGAGGGATACAACATCCCAGCAGAAAGACTGAGAGACTAAATAAAAATTTCTCCCCATTTTGGAATTGAACTCAGGACCCCTGTGTGCGATTGTGAAGAGCCCAACCGCTACACCTCAAACACCAGTGCATGAAGATTGCAATGTAATGTTACCTTCCTTAGCCGACACATAAGTGAAATAGGTGCTAGTAGATAAGACAATGGTTGAACTCTCCAAAACAAAATAAAACATTAAAATTCTACTTGGAAATCAAGGGAAAGTCTCAGGGGACGTAACATCTAAGCACAAGCTTTATAACACAAATTTTGCTGAATTTCAACATGTTGACCCTCACCTTGTCCATTCTGTCTTTCTGGACTCCAAATTTCCCTCCATATCCTTCTGAAGCCTTTGGCCCACGTTCGTATTCTTTCTGTTTGTAGTCTTTGTCATCCATAGACACTTGCTCTCGCAACTGTTTCAAGCTGAAAGCAAAAAATGGTTATAGTACGAGGCAAGGAAAACATTGTAATTTATAATGTCTAAAATGACATTTAACGTCCTTCCTTTCTCTGCATCATCTCTGTGAGTTTCTTCTGATTTTGATAAGTATCTTGGTAATTAATAAACAAAATAGTTGAAAAGAAAAATGCTTTAGCAACACAAAAAAAGAAGAAAAAAGCTGTTATTATCAATATGCATCCCACATAGGCTACAAAAAAATTTTTTTAAATGTAAAAAGTTTGTCTTAATCAAAAACATCTGAAACCACTGAGCAATAAAATGAATTTTAAAAAACCTGTTAAACAAAAATCACAAGTTACAAGTTTCTCTCATGCAGTAAAAACCCAGATCAGTCTGTAAGAATGAAAGTTTAATTTACAAACTACTTTTGAAATTGATACATTTAGTTTAGTTTTAGTACAGGGTTTGCGATGTTCGTAACTGCATAAGGTCATATGAGCACCAGAAGATTAGAGGTGTTACAAGAGAGTAACGAACATGAAAAAGAAGAAGGGGAGATAAGGACGATAAATGTTTGATAGGAAAGAAGAAGCAAACCACACCAGAGCACCCACCAACCACCCACAAATTGATACATTCAATCTTCCCGATGACAAAAACAAGTAGAAGGGTGAAATGAAAAACAGAGTAAGTCCATTTTCAGAAAAAAAAATCAGGGCACTAGCCCATTACAATAGTACCTGTAGGGTGCCCTTATGAAATTAGTCAAGTGGAACACCAACAAAAGTGATCCATAAACTGTATGTTTACAAAAGTAACTAAAGTTAAGAAAAAGCCAAGTCCATCATGAAATAGAGTAGGTTTTAATAAAGAGTAGTACAGCAATGCCGAAAATTAGACGTGTTACATCTAGAGACTAACACACAAAGAAAAGGAGGAGAGATAAGGACGTCAGATGTTTGACAGGAAAGAAGGAGCAAACCACACCACAGCACCCACTAACCATCCACTCATAAAAGAGTGGAAAATAGGCTATGTCGTGCCAGAATTAATGTGACTTAGCCTAATTTTCACTTGACCCCCTTCAAATGTGTGTTGCTTGTCATGACATCAGAGCTACACTTGTCCCTCCGAGACATTACATCTACAACACACTCTATTTAGTCTTAGTAGACGTTTTACGGTGCTCGCAACCGCATAAGGTCATATGAGAGCTAGAAGAATAGAGGTGTTACAAGAGAGTAACAAACATAAAAAAGAAGAAGGGGAGATAAGGACGATAGATGTTCGATAGGAAAGAAGCAAACCACACCAGAGCACCCACCAACCACCCACACATACTCTGTGGAACATTATGGCAACTGCAGAAAACCTGCACTTATCACTATGTGGCATTGAACAGAAGAGTGAGAGCCCAGCTGGTACTGTATTGATAACAAAAGAAGCAACAACAACGTTCTATTCTACAGAGATTTGGATTTTGTGTCCTACTTCAGAGATCCTTGATGTCCAGAACCCTCCACGGTCTTGGCTCCCCATCTCTGCTCCTCTTCTGACACATCATTCTGGGATAGAAACAAGGTTAGTGATTAAAACAAATTGCTAAAAAGATCTTTACTGTCATCAGAAAATCATACATAATTATAAAAAGAACAATGTATAACCAATAAAGATTTGGCACAATATGACTATGCCTTGGGTGGAAAAAGTTTGTGCACAATATCTGTATCAAGTAGAGCATGTTGAAATGTGTCAGAATGAGAGTAAAATTAATGTGTGTGTGTGTGGATGGGTCGGTGGAAAGGATTCAAGCATTGTGTTAACAAATAAAGATCACCAGAATTTAATATAGATATGGAATGAGTAAAATGAAAGTGGAAAAAAAAACAACAATCCCGCATCATCACTACTATCATTGTCAAACGTACTGATCATTCTTTATTTGTGGCAGCAATCATTGGTCTATCTTTAGTTTTGACTCAGATTCAAAACTCTCAGTATAACGTTTGTTTTCACTTACAAACAATATCACGCACATGATCTGGTTTTTTAACTTAATGATAGCACTTAGCATTTTCAATACAAATGATATGCTGGGAGCAAACTGAACCCCAAAAGCCGTGTATATGTACTCACCACAAAGTCAGGATCAGTCTCCCACTCATCGTCACCAGTATCTACGACTGACTTAACATCAACCCCGGCCTTCCACATGGTGGATTTGTTCTTTTATTTTCTACCTGGAAAGTCTGAAATGTTGGACAAAAAGGAAACACTAAATGAGGCTCAAAGAGGTTCCCTGGCTATTCTGACCACACAAACACTATAGTAGAGATGTCAACGCAAAAATAGTATATAAGTAATACTAATACAGTGAACTGAAATCTGGATAATGATCATAATTATAATTGCCTTTTTATAGTGAATGTCCAACTCTAAAGCATATATATATACAGCTATTTACACCTAAGTAGAACCTAGAACACACCTCAGAAACAAACAAGGAGGAAGTAAAATTATAACAGGCTATAAAATTAATTAAATATATAACTAAATATGATTAAATTCTCAAGCTTGAAAAGTTCAAAGTTAAAGTTGATAATCACTGGTAACCAAGGAATAGCCCTGAAAGCAGATCAAGTTTCTTACAACTGTTCTCTTTCCCAGCAGAGTTTGTTTGCTCTCCGTAAAGGATTGGACCACCCACAGATAACTGTGTTGTTATGGTTCTAGTTTAAAAAAAAAATTCATACACATTATAATGCAACGTTTGTTGTCGTTAGATAAAGAGATGGTTTGTTTTGTTGCATCTGATTTTCTTTCGGTGTTTTTTGTTTGTTTGCTGCTGTTTTTTGTGCTTTTTTTGGAGGGTGGGGAAGTTCTGCTCTCCTAGAATTAATTACATTTTAGAAATCCATTCAAATGAACTGAAAGAAATAAGATCAGAACTCGTCCCTGAATAAAATAAAGAGGAAAGTTACTTGTATTTTACTGCCAGAAAGAAAATGGCTGCTAAACTCTGACAGGAAAAAGGCTGAACTAATAAAAACTCCATACAATACATTACTTCTTATATACCAGTATAGATTTAACAAAATATTAATGACAAAATATGTAACAATAGGCATAATCACATACATTTCTGGATTCATTTCGCCAATATGATTCCATGCTCTACAGCATGCTCCTGTGTGCTTTACAAGTTTTATTGTGATCACTCCTGCAGACTTTAAAAACACTCAGAAACATTCTCAGCTTCCCAAGAAGCATACAATGCAAGCAGCACAAGCACAAGAAAACTGACAATAGCCAGGCGTCCATTTCCACTTGAGTGAAGTGAGGGAAATTCTAAATGCCTTTTATATATGGGACATAACGTGACAATGTCATGCCAAGCTGAGCCTTGAATCCCTTAACTCGCAACCTCAAGATTACAAATCTAGATCTACTTACAAGTGCATTGTTCTCTTTACTATAAAGGCCTACAATCAAATAAATTAATGCAAATTAAATAGAAGACCTATCTATTCAGTCCAGGCTATACATTTCAACTGTACTGTATCTCCAGACCTCTTTTTTAGATTACAAAATAAACAAGCTAAAAAAAACCTAAGCATAAAATATTATTCTGATTAGGTAATAATAATATGCTAGATCTAGTGAACTGTGGTCTTGTTATTTCTTAGACGTACTTCTTTATAGGTCAGTATTGCCAAAGTTTTGGGGGATTGTGATTGTGTGGGCGTTTCCCAAGGGAATCCTGCTTAGCCATCTTTTTAAATCAGAACTCCAAATCTTTATCTCTATATGCCGAGTTGACAATGTGACCAGCCAACAAAAAAGAACAACATGCACAAGATTCTAAAACTCCTGCGCAAGGCTGAGCTCGCTGGCACGGCTGCTGCTATTGTTACAGATGAAGTTCAGGTAAAGCTTCAATATCTTCCGCTGAGAAGTCAAACTGTCAACACAAAATCTCCGGCGCCTCGGACGGGTGTAAAAGTAACATAAAAGTCCTTATTTAAATTATATCATTTTATTGAAAAGTTAACAGCTGCACAAAGGAGAGCTAATACAAAAGTACATCATTCCTGGGACGACAAAACTCAGCAAACTCACCGGATAGCTAAACAAGCTTTGAGGGTGTGTGAACTGTGTATAGTTCCCTTTCTGGTTTCGGTTCACTTCCTTGTTACTCGCCTCTTCCGGCTGAGTCATGTGACTCATACTATGACTAACTTACAACCACAAAACTAAAGAGCTCTCTTGCTCGTCTTATTCTTCTTTCGCCTTTATCTGTTGACTGGCCGCAAGGAGGTTATATTAATAATTATCACAATGCCCTTGTCTAGCCTTCTGAAACATTTCTCGTAGCATTATTATTCCAAGAATAATAATTTGAAGCATTTGAAAACTTAAATGTCTGAAGGGGGCGAATGGCGTAAATACGTGTGTTAGACAATTATATTATGTTCAGGCAATTTTTTAAATTTTTTTTTTTGGGGTGGGGGGGTTGCTTTTTACGAGTTATCTTTTAAAAACAGATTGGTTGATTTTCTTTATATCACCAATTTTGATGTCCTATATTATATTGGTTGACTTTATTTATTGCTCGAAGCCAGTCAGCAAGAACAGTGGATATAAAAAGAAGACAATATAAATGTGGTTTCGTGGGAGACTATCTTTTAGGATATCTTGGATTCGGAAAGAAAAGAAATCAAATGACATTGTACTTGACTACATGGGTAGCACGCTGATCGAGGCAATAGAAAAAGATAATTTATACTTTTCTTCGACACTTGAATCGACACCAAGGCCTTGAGTATCTAGGGTTCACTGGTAAAACTGAAGGCAAACGATGCATGGGTAGACCCAGAGCAACTTACCTGGAAAGCCTAAACAGAAAGATGGCTCGCAGGGTGAGATCAGGATAATATTAATGGCTTTTTTGTGGGTATCCCATCAAAGAAATGTACGGCAATTCATACAGTCGCCGAAGTCTGTCGCATATCTGGCACCTGGTGGTGATGATGATATGTTATTGAAATTGATGCAAAGATAACCGAGTAATTACCCTTTTACATGAGTCTTCTTTCTGTTTGTTTGCTTGTTTGTCTGCTTGTTTGTTTGCTTGTATGTTTGCTTATTTGTTGTTTGTTTGATTGCCTTTGTTTTGTTCTGTATCTTGATACTCGGTATTTACCTTGCTCACCATTGTGTTACATGATATGCCGCCTTGCCCCAACAGCTAATTGTGCTTTCTGTCCGTTGGCTTGTTACATGGTCAGTAACGATTTGCGACTGAGATTATCCACGTTAATTTGTGCTCACAGCGTGCTCGCTGACGTGCGGGGTCATTAGACCTGACCGCAACGTAAATAATGACGTGTTGGTTCTCCATAACTAGTAACGTCAGCCCTCCAAGTACGGGCGCCATATACATATAATATGCCATATTATTATACAGTGGTGATGGCTCTTCTTTGCGAACTCCGAATCCTAATTGAGCATGCTTGCCAGGATAATGATACTAATCTAATCTAATCTAATCTCTCTCTCTCTCTCTCTCTCTCTCTCTCTCTCTCTCTCTCTCTCTCTCTCTTC